TTAGGTTCAAGGTTTATGGGTATGACCACGACTATATTTAATACTAGACTACCCGTTATCTAGTTAGATAACTGGGGGTTTCGGGGGGTCATCTATAAATGACATCACGTCTGCCAGCACTAATCATCACAAAATAACCAGACCCCCACATTCAAAAAGACGTTTTTTATATTTTAAAAACTCTACAAAACTCTACTTCACCTGCCCAGTGCCCCGCCAAGTCTCAGACATAATTGTATTTTTAAGAAAAAACGATTCCGGCCGAGCATGGCTCTGACCACACTATCCCTTCATATGCTGAAAACATAGAAACAGGTGAACTCTACTTCACCTGCCCTGTGCCCCGCGAGGTTCTGATAGTCAACCTTATCATTCACATGTAGGCCTTAAGAAAAAAATAATTGAAAACATTGCTGTAAAAAGAAACTAGAACTATTTACTATTACTAAACTTATTTTTCTAAACTTTTATAATTAATGTGGTTAATCTACATATGAATATATCTATAAATTAATTAACGGCTTTAAATTAGTTTGTAATTAACAGTGTGTTTAAGAAAGAACAATATTTACCACCCAAAATCCTATTTTACAGCTCTACACATAATGCAGATTCTCCCCAATTACAAATAAAAAAAAAATGAGTTATTAAACGTCAATATTCAGTCAAAGTTAAGCCATTGTTCTAAAACTTTAAAGTGGTTAATCTACCTATGAATAAATCAATAAATTAATTAACGTCTTTAAATAAATGTGTGATTTACAGTCTGTCTGCAATCAAAAATTGTTCTCTACCTACATACTATTTTACAGCCCCGCATATAGAGCTGTTTCCTTACAGTACGAAATCAGACAAACAAATAAATATTCAAACATGTAAACAAAGTTGAGTTTTAGTAGTATACTAGACTACCCATCACCCGTTGGATAACTGTGGGTTTCGGGGGTCATCCATCAAAAAACATCAAGTCTGTCACTCAGAGGCGTAGCGACCCTTTTCTGCGCCCGGGGACGAAATTTTTCGATTTAACCCCCCCCCCCGGCAAGATTTTGATATGCACCCCCACAAACTTTCGATGTGCACCACCCCCCCCCCCCCATCTCAAGATTTCGATTTGCACCTCCCCCCACCTCAAACTTTCGATTTGCACCCCCCTCAACCTTTCAATTTATTTTTCCAACCCATTTTGGCGCCCCCTAAGGTTGGCGCTCGGGGGCATGTCCCCCCCCCGCCCCACCCTCCTCGCTACGCTACTGCAGTGTCACTTATCGTCACAAAAAAACAGACCCCACATTCAAACATATGTTTTTTATCTTTTAAAAACACCGAAAACAACGATTTCGGACTATCCCTTCATATACTGACGTCATAGGTGACCTACTCAACTCTACTTCACCTGCCCAGTGTCCCGCCAAGTCTCAGACAACATGTTTTTATCGTTTAAAAAAACGATTCCAGCCGAGCATGTCTCTGACCACACTATCCCTTCATATGCTTAGGACAAACAAACAGGTGAACTCTACTTCATCTGCCCTGTGCCCCGCGAGGTCCTGATAGTCAACCTTATCATTCACATGTAGGCCTTAGGAAAAATAATTGAAAACATTGTTGTAATTAGAAAATAAATCATTTTACTATTACTAAAGTCATAATTCTAAACTTTTATATAAATTGTGGTTAATCTACCCATGAATATATCAATAAATTAATTAACGGCTTTAAATTAGTTTGTAATTAACAGTGTGTTTAAGAAGGAACAATATTTACCACTCAAAATACCATTTTACAGCTCTACACATAATGAAGATTCTCCCCAATAACAAATCAAAAAAACAAACAAACAAAAAAATGAGTTATCAAACATCACTATTCAGTCAAAGTTAAGCCATTGTTTTAAAACTTTAAAACAAAAGTGGTTAATCTACCTATGAATAAATCAATTAATTAATTAACGTCTTTAAATAAATGTGTGATTAACAGTCTGTCTGCAATAAAAAATTATTCTCTACCTACATACTATTTTACAGCCCCCCATATAAAGCAGTTTACTTACAGTATGAAATCAGACAAACAAATAAATATTCAAACATGTAAACAAAGTTGAGTTTTAGTAGTATATAGATAGATAGATGGATGTACAGTACCTACGTGCCGATTCTTGATAAAAATTTCATTGTTTGTTTCTGGTTAATCTGGAAGTTGAGGTGGTGATTTTGACGTGGGTCAGTGGCGTAGGCGGGGGTGGGGGAGGAAGTAGGGGAATTACAACCACCCCCCACCCCCCACCCCCCTATGGAGCCATCTGTAATTTATTTTACTGTCATAATACCACTGTTACTTAAATCTATTTCTGAATCAGTATATATCTATTATTGTATATGTATGTTTAGAACAGTCATCTAAAAAAGTTGGTTTCCCGCACCCCCCCCCCCCCGACCCCACTACTTCACCACCTAAACCGGGACACAACATTAATGTCACACCTAGGTATACGCTGGGTAGGATAATTGACCTAAAGTGACCGGACAGCGTTGAATGAAGTTGAACCCCCCCCCCCCCCCATCCCAACCCACCCCAAACTGATCTGTTAAGTACATTTGGGATAACGCGTAAATATTGTTTTTGCAATTACCAGTAAAGATGAATGTATGCAATACAGAGATCTAACCCATACCTTATCATTATGTTAAAAAATAATCTTGAAAGAACACAAAAAACAGTAGCTAATTAAAAAATATGTGATCTGAGATGTAAGACCAATATTCTAGTTACATGTAGGCTATTATTTAAAATGTTCCACTTATTAGATTTAATTTTAATATAATGAATAGCGTGGTTTTATCCCAACTCTGATTTAAAAAACTTACATTATGCTGTAAGATTTTAGCAGTTATGATGACAATATATTCAATTCCGATTGTAGAAAACATATTTTTGTAAAAACAAATAAAGTTAAACTTCTATACTACATACGAAAGTAATTATTGATCTCTTTTGACATTTACAATTAAATTTGTAGAAATATATATATATATATATATATATATATATATATATATATATATATATATATATATATATATATATATATATATATATATATATATATAAAGAAAGTGATTATTTTCCCTAGTTCGTTTGCCTTCATATTCTAGGAATCATTATGTCAAGTTGTTTTTTTACAATGATTACCCAATAGATTGTGCTGTGTTCATTATTTTTTAATGTATTGTGTGTATATTTTGTTTTGTTTTTTGTTTAGTGTGATAATTTGTTTCGTTTTGTCGGCCTACGTTGTGTAATTTTTCTTATTTCTTGAGAGTACTACTTTCAATTTAATTTACATAATAGCGAAGCAATGACATACAACTAGTATATATATGTATATATATATATCTATCTATCTATCTATCTATCTATCTATCTATCTATCTATCTATCTATCTATCTATCTATCTATCTATCTATCTATCTATCTATCTATCTATCTATCTATCTATCTATCTATCTATCTATCTATCTATCTATCTATCTATCTATCTATCTATCTATCTATCTATCTATCTATCTATCTATCTATCTATCTATCTATCTATCTATCTATCTATCTATCTATCTATCTATCTATCTATCTATCTATCTATCTATCTATCTATCTATCTATCTATCTATCTATCTATCTATCTATCTATCTATCTATCTATCTATCTATCTATCTATCTATCTATCTATCTATCTATCTATCTATCTATCTATCTATCTATCTATCTATCTATCTATCTATCTATCTATCTATCTATCTATCTATCTATCTATCTATCTATCTATCTATCTATCTATCTATCTATCTATCTATCTATCTATCTATCTATCTATCTATCTCTCTCTCTCTCTCTCTCTCTCTCTCTCTCTCTCTCTATATATATATATATATATATATATATATATATATATATATATATATAAATGATGGAAAATTTTGAACCTTCCCCCCCCCCCCCCCCCTCCTAAAAAGAAAAGATTTATATTAAATATTTAATGATTAACATAGTTTAATAAAGAAAGTGAATAATGTATTGTGTTTTTATGATTGATTTTATTGTTAACTAGATCTAATTAATTTTGTTTGACCTAGATTCTAGATTTTAGATTTACTATTGACTTTCCCTTCGTCCGACAGCTGATCTCTAGATCTAGAGAAATTTATTGTATACTCAAATTAGAAGAACTGTTGAAAATTGATCATAGATTTGAAACCTAATAAAAATAGCCAGCGAATGTATCGTTAAAGGTATAGTCGACAGAAAATAGCTTTATAATTCGTTAAACTTTTGAATGAGCACCAACATCTTCGATGAAAGCCGCCATTATTGTTATAGAAAGTAAATAAATCATGTGACGCAAGCAACTATAAGTAAAGTCATAATTCTGAACTTTTATAATTAAAGTGGTTAATCTACCAATGCATATATCAATACATTAATTAACGCCTTTAAATAAATTTGTGATTAACAGTTTGGTCAAAAAGAACATTGTTCTCTACCTTAATACGTATTTACATAGCTCTACACACAGTGCAGATTCTCTCCTGTAACCAAACAAACCAAACAAAAACAATATATATATATATATATATATATATATATATATATATATATATATATATATATATATATATATATATATATATATATATATATATACAAACATTTAAACAAACTTGAGTTTTAGTAGTATACGAGACCACCCGTCACCCTTTGGATAACTGTGGGTTTCGGGGGTCATCCATAAATGACATTGCGTCTGTCACTTATCGTCACAAAAAAACCAGACCCCACATTTTGTCTTTTAAAAATACCTATTTCGGCTGAGCATGGGTCTGACCATATTATCCCTTCATATGCTGATTTTACAAAAACACGTGATCCTCATGTAACGTGAAGTTGATTGTGATCCTTGTGTAACGTGAATGTTGAACGTGATTCTCATTTCTCCTGCAGGGGCCCAGTTCTCGCTGGAAGACGAGAACAAGCGCACGCGCACAGCTTACAGCCGGGGCCAGCTGCTGGAGCTGGAGAAAGAGTTCCACTTCAACAAGTACATCTCCCGGCCCCGGCGGATAGAGCTGGCCGCCATGTTGAGTCTGACGGAGAGACACATCAAGATCTGGTTTCAGAACCGCCGGATGAAGTGGAAGAAGGACGAGGCCAAACGGCGGCCCCTGCCCGACCCTGGGGACACGGCGGAGCGGGCTGACCGGAAGGACGGGATCCCGTGTACACACCAGGATGAGCTCAAGTCAGAGCCAACTTGTGACAGTGACCGGCACCTGGTCAATCCCAACGATATTGTCAAAAGCAACAGAAATAATGCTTGTACATTATCACAAGACACGATAAATATATTGCATTTACAAAACATAGACAAAACATTGACAAAACATTGACAAAACTTTTAAAAACTTTTTTTTAAACTTAATGTTACTAATGGGACAATAATATTTCCGTCTGTATTTTCAAAATGTATGTCAGAGTTGATAATGTCAAATGTCAGAGTTGATAATGTCAAATGTCAGAGTTGATAATGTCAAATGTCAGAGTTGATAATGTCAAATGTCAGAGTTGATAATGTCAAATGTCAGAGTTGATAATGTCAAATGTCAGAGTTGAGTATGTCAAACAACGAAATTGGGTCATCAATTATGTTAAAAAGATTTGACCAAGCCGGTAGATGACGGCTATTGATATTGTTGCTCCCCTTATCAACAATTGCTTGTAACCATAGCAACACTCGATAGTAACCTTAGCAACACTTCATGGTAACATTAGCAGCAGTTGATTGTAACCTTGGCAATACCGGGTGCTGCCCTTACATAGCTACATGTACAGTTGTTAGTTTGGCATTAGTTAAAGATCTGATTTTTCCTTCAACCTGTTTTCTGCACTCCGCCATCTTGGAACTTCAATCGTCGAATTTATGTCGCGACTAGTGCCGTGACACTTTAGGGTAAGCGTGAAACTGTCACGACAAAAGTGACACAGACGTGACACTTTAGGGTAAGCGTGATACTGTCACGACAAAAGTGACACAGACGTGACACTTTAGGGTAAGCGTGAAACTGTCATGAGAAACAAGACAGACGTGACACTTTAGGATAAGCGTGAAACTGTCACGACAAAAGTGACACAGACGTGACACTTTAGGATAAGCGTGAAACTGTCACGACAAAAGTGACAAAGACGTGACACTTTAGGGTAAGCGTGAAACTGTCACAACAAAAGTGACACAGACGTGACACTTTAGAGTAAGTGTGATACTGTCACGATAAACAAGACACAGACTGACAACTGAGTACTGCACATCATACAAAGTTTGATCCTTGTACATATCTGAAGATTATAGACTTTGTATGTTCAAAATATGTCGGATTCGCTGGATTTCTTCAGTTGCATGTAAAGGTTATCTAATATACTATAACGTTTATTGTCTGAGTAAATGTGGATGTTTTAACTTAATAAAATGTGAACTTTTGGACTGGAACAATTATATAAATATAAAAGTGGTGTAAATATCATTGTTTTCAAATGGCGAAGTGTTCTATTCAAGAGAGCGAGCTGGGTGTCTATGCTTGATGTAATGTGTTTTCAAATATTTGAACTGAGAAAAATTGTGAACGTTTGAAGCTGGCCAAATGTGAAAGTTTGAAGCTGGCAAAATGTGAAAGTTTGAAGCTGGCCAAATGTGAAAGTTTGAAGCTGGCCAAATGTGAAAGTTTGAAGCTGACCAAATGTGAAAGTTTGAAGCTGGTAAAATGTGAAAGTTTCAAGCTGGCAAAATGTGAAAGTTTGAAGCTGGCCAAATGTGAAAGTTTAAAGCTGGCCAAATGTGAAAGTTTGAAGCTGGCCAAATGTGAAAGTTTGAAGCTGGCCAAATGTGAAAGTTTAAAGCTGGCCAAATGTGAAAGTTTGAAGCTGGTAAAATGCAAAAGTTTGAACCTGGCCAAATGTGAAAGTTTGAAGCTGGCCAAATGTGAACGTTTGAAGCTGGCCAAATGTGAAAGTTTGAAGCTGGCCAAATGTGAAAGTTTGAAGCTGGCCAAATGTGAAAGTTTAAAGCTGGCCAAATGTGAAAGTTTGAAGCTGGCCAAATGTGAAAGTTTGAAGCTGGCCAAATGTGAAAGTTTAAAGCTGGCCAAATGTGAAAGTTTGAAGCTGGTAAAATGCAAAAGTTTGAACCTGGCCAAATGTGAAAGTTTGAAGCTGGCCAAATGTGAACGTTTGAAGCTGGCCAAATGTGAAAGTTTTAAGCTGGCCAAATGTGAAAGTTTGAAGCTGGCCAAATGTGAAAGTTTGAAGCTGGCCAAATGTGAAAGTTTGAAGCTGGCCAAATGTGAAAATTTGAAGCTGGCCAAATGTGAAAGTTTGAAGCTGGCCAAATGTGAACGTTTGAAGCTGGCCAAATGTGAAAGTTTGAAGCTGGCCAAATGTGAAAGTTTGAAGCTGGCCAAATGTGAAAGTTTGAAGCTGGCCAAATGTGAAAGTTTAAAGCTGGCCAAATGTGAAAGTTTGAAGCTGGTAAAATGCAAAAGTTTGAACCTGGCCAAATGTGAAAGTTTGAAGCTGGCCAAATGTGAACGTTTGAAGCTGTCCAAATGTGAAAGTTTGAAGCTGGCCAAATGTGAAAGTTTGAAGCTGGCCAAATGTGAAAGTTTGAAGCTGGCCAAATGTGAAAATTTGAAGCTGGCCAAATGTGAAAGTTTGAAGCTGGCCAAATGTGAAAGTTTGAAGCTGGCCAAATGTGAACGTTTGAAGCTGGCCAAATGTGAAAGTTTGAAGCTGGCCAAATGTGAAAGTTTGAAGCTGGCCAAATGTGAAAGTTTGAAGCTGGCCAAATGTGAAAATTTGAAGCTGGCCAAATGTGAAAGTTTGAAGCTGGCCAAATGTGAAAGTTTGAAGCTGGCCAAATGTGAAAGTTTAAAGCTGGCCAAATGTGAAGGTTTGAAGCTGGCCAAATGTGAAAGTTTGAAGCTGGCCAAATGTGAAAGTTTAAAGCTGGCCAAATGTGAAAGTTTGAAGCTGGTAAAATGCAAAAGTTTGAACCTGTCCAAATGTGAAAGTTTGAAGCTGGCCAAATGTGAACGTTTGAAGCTGGCCAAATGTGAAAGTTTGAAGCTGGCCAAATGTGAAAGTTTGAAGCTGGCCAAATGTGAAAGTTTGATGCTGGCCAAATGTGAAAATTTGAAGCTGGCCAAATGTGAAAGTTTGAAGCTGGCCAAATGTGAAAGTTTGAAGCTGGCCAAATGTGAAAGTTTAAAGCTGGCCAAATGTGAAAGTTTAAAGCTGGTCAAATGTGAAAGTTTGAAGCTGGCCAAATGTGAAAGTTTAAAGCTGGCCAAATGTGAAAGTTTGAAGCTGGCCAAATGTGAAAGTTTAAAGCTGGCCAAATGTGAAAGTTTGAAGCTGGTAAAATGTGAAAGTTTGAAGCTGGTAAAATGTGAAAGTTTGAAGCTGGTAAAATGCGAAAGTTTGAAGCTGGTAAAATGTGAAAGTTTGAAGCTGGCCAGATGTGAAAGTTTGAAGCTGGCCAAATGTGAAAGTTTAAAGCTGGCCAAATGTGAAAGTTTGAAGCTGGCCAAATGTGAAAATTTGAAGCTGGCCAAATGTGAAAGTTTGAAGCTGGCCAAATGTGAAAGTTTAAAGCTGGCCAAATGTGAAAGTTTGAAGCTGGCCAAATGTGAAAGTTTGAAGCTGGCCAAATGTGAAAGTTTGAAGCTGGCCAAATGTGAAAGTTTGAAGCTGGCCAAATGTGAAAGTTTGAAGCTGGCCAAATGTGAAAGTTTAAACCTGGCCAAATGTGAAAGTTTGAAGCTGGCCAAATGTGAAAGTTTGAAGCTGGCCAAATGTGAAAGTTTGAAGCTGGCCAAATGTGAAAGTTTGAAGCTGGCCAAATGTGAAAGTTTGAAGCTGGCCAAATGTGAAAGTTTAAAGCTGGCCAAATGTGAAAGTTTGAAGCTGGTAAAATGTGAAAGTTTGAAGCTGGTAAAATGTGAAAGTTTGAAGCTGGTAAAATGCGAAAGTTTGAAGCTGGTAAAATGTGAAAGTTTGCAGCTGGCCAGATGTGAAAGTTTGAAGCTGGCCAAATGTGAAAGTTTGAAGCTGGCCAAATGTGAAAGTTTGAAGCTGGCCAAATGTGAAAATTTGAAGCTGGCCAAATGTGAAAGTTTGAAGCTGGCCAAATGTGAAAGTTTGAAGCTGGCCAAATGTGAAAGTTTGAAGCTGGCCAAATGTGAAAGTTTGAAGCTGGCCAAATGTGAAAGTTTGAAGCTGTCCAAATGTGAAAATTTGAAACTGGCCAAATGTGAAAGTTTGAAGCTGGCCAAATGTGAAAGTTTGAAGCTGGTAAAATGTAAAAGTTTGAAGCTGGTAAAATGTGAAAGTTTCATGTTTAATTTGCAGTAAATGTGATTAATCTCTGATCTTAATCTCTGATCTTAATCTCTGATCTTAATCCCTGATCTTAATCCCTGATCTTAATCTCTGATCTTAATCTCTGATCTTAATCTCTGATCTTAATCTCTGTTCTTAATCTCTGATCTTAATCTCTGATCTTAATCTCTGTTCTTAATCTCTGATCTTAATCTCTGATCTTAATCTCTGTTCTTAATCTCTGTTCTTAATCTCTGATCTTAATCCCTGATCTTAATCTCTGATCTTAATCTCTGATCTTAATCTCCCACCTTGTGACTAAGCTTCATTTGTTGATGTAGACAATCTGTGAGACATAGTCGAGTTCAATGACCCCGGGGTTCATTAAATGTACAATTATTGTCTAAACATGTGTTTGTGTGTGCTATATCCATATAGATATGTGCGTTACGTTTTTTTCTATTGAATTATGCTTACCACATGTACATGCAACACTTCTGTAATATGTTATATTATTTTATATTAAAGTTTTCTACATACGATAAGTGTGTTGTACATACGACATTGTCTTACTCGCAATATGGAATAAATGTCAAGGCCGTTGATGGTGTTCAAGTTTATTATTTCACTTTTATGCCATAATCAAATTAAGGACAAGCCCGACAGCAACACCGACACGAATTT